CCTGCCGGAAGAGGGAAAGGAGCTTAGGTGCCAGGGATGAAGAGGCGTGACCTTTGTGGAGGGATCGGGACTGGAGGAAGGGGTGACTTGGGACTGAGCTGGAAGGGGGCGCCTGAGTGTATGACATGGAGGGAAAGGAGAAATCAGGAAGAAGATGTGTGAACCCAGCTGAGAGTCTTCTTCCTTCCTTTCTCTTTGGAGATGATTGTTACCCGAGACTTTGATTTCGGTCCCATTCAGTTTTTAAACTTCAGGAAGGATCACAGAATTTTGATCATTTTGCTTTCGTCACACCCACTTAGTCCTGGTTGGGTAGGGTTCCACTTCTTGGTAACCTATCCCTTCAGATCATCTTTCTTTGAGATTTTTCCCAGATCACATCAACTTCGAGGCTTAAAAAAGGAGTGTGGGCACTTTGCTGTGGCCATAAAATGGCTTTTAGCCTAAATTGTTGACCACGACCTAGCCCAGCATTACCTCAGCAACAGTGACTGCAGATATCTTGGACAGAGTGTCTGTACTGCTTTATGACTTTTCTTCTTTCTTCGGTTTAAATTATTCAGTTTCCCTTATCATGTGACTGCTTATCTTGACAAACTGTAACTAGGTAGAGAGACTGAGACGTCTGTGTTGTGTTCCTTAGCACTGTGACCTGAATCATGATTTTGATATTAAATACCTGTGTAAAAGCTGCTTATCCTCTTTTTCTTCATGTTTACGAAATTTGCAGAAGTGAAATGAATTTCATAGATGTGGTATAACTGGAGTGAATGTTCAAAGTGGACATTCACAGGACCTGGAGTCGTTTTGGATTACAAGTAGGGAAAAAAAATGACTTTGCTGACATATGAGTTAAAGTTTTTGGAGTATTTGACAAACATTTAAAAATTATTTTCTGTAGCGGCCTTTGAGTTAGGTTGGGAAGGTATTCACATTTCACAATGAACAAACAGACCTAAGGGAGAGCGACTTGTTTTTTTTGAACGATTTATTGCTTTCTTGTTTACTGGTGTCTTTCTTCCTCCTAGACTGCACATCCTTCAAGGGCAGTGTTCATATCTTATTTGGCTACTACCCTAGTGGCTGGCATGTTGTGGGCACTTGGTAAATGTTTGCTGAATAAATAACTTTCTAAATGTCACACAGCTATAAGTAGAGGACAAGGGATTTGAACCCAAGACCTAGCTCTTCTCTTATCAGACCATTTTCTGTGTTATATTGGTCCATATGAAAATGATGGGCATGGGAAAAAGGCTTGAGTTAGCTTCTTGGTCGCTTTTAGTTAATGATGACTTCCTTGGTTACAGGGAGCTTTTACCAACATCTTCTGACCATGATCCTGCAAAGGTCAGGATTGTCCCTATTCCACAATGAGGAAACTGAGGCTTAGTGAAGTTCTTACTTTAGATTCCAGAGCTAGTGAATGACTGAGCAGGGACTCAAGCTCAGGCCTTTTACCCAGAGACCCATTCTCTCCCATTAATAGAAGGAATATAAAATTTTATTTTAAAGCATTTTTTTCAAGTATAAAAAGTATGACATTTTAAGGAAAAAATAGTATATATATATATCATACCAAAAAAATGTGAATATAGAATGAAATTGAAGTTTAAAAGACTCTGTACTATACCATACATGCCTCTTCCTGGGAGAACATTCTTTCATTCAATGAATATGTAAGTGCCTACTCTAGAGTTGCACTGTCCAGTATGGTTGAGTACTGGAGATATGCTGTGGAGTACAAAGTACACACCAGAGTTTGAAGAGTCCGTTTGAAAAAAAGTAAAATATGTCATTGATTTTTTAAAATGCTATAACAAGCATAATATTAATATAATAACGTATGCTAATACATGATAACATTTTAAGTTTATTGGGTTAAATGCAATATAATTGAAATCTCACCTGCTTCTTTTCACTTTTTAAAATGTGTTTCCTAGAAAATTAAAGATTATATTGGACAGTGCTCTTCTAAACACTGGGAATATAGTACACAAGAAAAGCAAAAACCCCTGCCCTTGTGGAACTTAAATTTTAGTGGAAAGGAACAATAAAATAACCAAGTAAAATGCGTATTTTATTGTAATAAAGGAGGGAAGCCAAATGTGGAATGTTGGCTGGGGCTGCAATTTTGCATAGGGTCTGTAGAGATGCCTTCCTGGGAAGGTGACTGTTGAGTAATGATCTGAAGGAGGTGAGGGCAAGAGCCGTGTGAGTGGGGACATTGTGGTCCAGGTGGAGGGGACAGCAAATTCAGTAGCCCTAAGAAAGAGCACCCCTGGCAGGTTTGTGGGCTACCTAGGAGGCTAGGATGGCTGGAGGGGTGTGAGCAAAGAGAGTAGTAGGATGAGGTTAAAGACGTCCTAGGGGCAAGGGGAGAGATGGGCAGGTCATGGAGGGGCCTTGCAGCCCATTGTAAGGATGATGGTTTTTAGTCGGAGTGAGTTGGGGTCATTGGAGGGTTTTAAGCAGCGGAGTGGACACAACCTACCCTGCCTTTTAACAGGCTCACTCTGGTTGCTGTGTGGAGAAGGAGTATAGAGGAGCAAGGCTAGAAACAAGCAATTGAGTTTAGAGACCTCCAAGAACCATGGGGAAAACACAGCCTAGAAGGAGGGGTAATGAGTTTTTAATGTTTAAATATTGTTTTTACCTGACATGTATTGAATGCATATTGTTTGTCAGGTATTCTGTTGTTTTACAGATTTACAACAAATAGAACCTCAGTCGGGCGGAGTGACGTGCATGAGGTCATGTAGCTCTGACATGGAAGAGCTGGGAGTTCAATCTTGGTCTTTGAGTCCAGAGCTCATGCTTCCATTAGTGAGATATGTGGCGGTGGATACATGAACATAAACTCCCATTGGAATCGAATCAGTGAGCTGCTTTTGAATGATTTTGAGTCATGGTGGACTGTTACAGATTGTAGAATTTCTGAGAGGTAGGAACAAAAGGGAAGATCTTGTTTCCCTTAAAACGAACCAACTGAATCTTTTTTAGAAAGTTGCAGGCCTCTGCCCCTCCCCACAAGCTGGTAAACAAACAGTGATTTAAGTCAAGTGTTAATAAGTACTTCTAGGAAAATACCAAATACGCAGGCTTGGCAGTCCTGACCTAGGGCAGGTCCCCATCCTCTGTGTCGCCCGTGCCTTTTGCTTCCTGTTTTGTTGTGCAATCTGCTTTCCATTCTCTTTTATTATTAGCCTGTAATTCCATGGTGCTTCCAAAGATATGACCTTCCCTGTCCCTCCCTCTCTCTTTTTATGTGCTTGGCCTTTGTACGGATGTCATTTGGCAAAGTTTAGTTCTGTTTGATTGTTTTTCAATATGGGCCTTTGGAAAATGGAAGGTAACTCAGTGCTGGCCAGAGAAAAGAGGCCAAGAAAGAATTAGTGTTGGAAAGAACTGGAAAAGCATGAGAGTATGAAGAAAAGGAGGAATTTTTGAACAGACCCTTCTCTTCCACATTTTTTAAGAAGTGAGTATAGAGTGGGTCTATAATTATAACTAAGAAGCTCTGACTGTTTCTACAACTGGCTAATTAAAATTAAAATCTTGGTAAGTAGTTTTTGGTCTTCCTTGGTTCATGTGCTACACAGGTCCTTTCATCTTGAGATCAGTGTTCAGTGGTTTCTTGACTCAAAGCTGGGTCAAGAATTTGAGGAATCGCAGAGCCTAGACTTTTAGCGTCAAGAAGAACTATTTTAGCTTGTATTTTAGTTAATGCTTGGAAGAGCACGTACTGTGTGCTGGTTGCTTTACTTGATTGAGCTCATTTAATCCTTTCAGTAATCTTATAAAGTAAGTAATATTCTTATGTTTATTTCACAGATGAAGAATTGAGATTTAGAGAGGGTGAGTCACTTTTTCACTATCACTCAAAGGCTAGTGAGTGGTCAGACCTATTTGCCTCTAAAAGATTGACTCGTCTGAAAGGTTCTTGTCGAAGTTGGGTGAGAAAAAGGATCAGGTGCTCTAGATATTGCAGGAGCTATCCCTTGCTAAATCCTATGTGTGGTTGCTTTCTTGTGCCAGAAGCTCTTTGAAGATTTCTTTAACAGGGGTCTCACACCGAGAGATCTGAGGTCCCAGAAGGCAGGGACCCCCTGACATTCGCTTTTGTATTTCCAGAGCCTGGCACAGAGTGGGGTCTATAAGCATTATTGAAAGACTAACCCTGGCTCTGGACTGGGCAGGGTGGAATGAAACGGTCTGGAAGAGGCAGAGTCAGAAGGCTGGCTGCCTTCCTGGAAAAGGTGCCCTTGACCATTATCGTCCCTTGGCTTCAAGAATCAACCTGTCCTAGCAACCCAAATGTTGAGTAGTCCATCAACTGATGAATGGGTAAACAGAAGGTTATATATCCACATATTGTTTGATTCCACGTGTTTGAAATGTCCAGCATAGGCAGATCCACAGAGTCAGGAAGTAATTTTGTGGTTGCTAGAGGCTGGGGTGCAGGGAGGAATGAAGGGTGACTGCTTATGGGTATGGGGTTTCTTTTGGGGTGATGAAAATGTTACGGAATTAGATAGTGCTTGCGCTACTCTGTGAATATACTAAAAGTCACTGAATTGTATGCTTTAAAAGGGTGAATTTATGGCATGTGCATTATATTTCAACAATAATAAAAATAAAGAGTCAACCAGTCCTGTTTTGAACGTACCCTCTGTGGTCTGTGGAGATCAAGATTTTAGTGCAGGTG